GCCAGACAGTCCAGTTTCTCCTGTATGAGTCTGGGTCCCCAGAGACTCACCTGGAACTGGAGTTCAGAGCAGCCGGGAGCTGACTACTTCCTCCCGATTGAAAAAAACAACCGTGTCCTCAGCTGCCAGCCCTTTCCACATGCACCTCCGTACCTCTGCACTTTACCGCACCTCCTCCTCTGAGTCTCAGTGTGCTTTTCTCTTTCCTTCTAGTTGTAGAATTTCCCAACCTTCCTGTGGTTCTGGATGATGTTCATTTTGTCTTTTAGTTGTATTTTTGAAGTGGTTGTGCAAGGCAGCAATTTCCGGTGTTTACCTATGCCACCATCTTGGTTTCTCCTTTCTTAAGTATTATATATCCTTTAAAAGCAGGAAAGCCACAAATTCTATCACATCTGTCATATAGAATTATATTTCAAAGATAAAATCTTATTGGAAATTTTTATTTCTGAAACTTGATAGCAACATAAAGTGTTGGGTGATTTAAAGAAAGCTTCAGGCTTTGAAATCTTATGACCCCTTAGCTTTTTCCCCACCATTTTTTAAGCTCTGCAGAAATAAATCTAGATGCATAAACTCCTAAGCGATCGTTAAGACCAAATGATTGGAACAACCAGAATGACCAATTGACCAGTCGCTACAATGGGCACTGACCAACAGGGGGCAGACGCTCAATGCAGAAGCTGCCCCCTGGTGGTCAGCGCACTCCCACAGGGGGAGCGCCAATCAGCCAGAAGCCAGGCTCACGGCTGGCAAGCACAGCTGCAGTGGCGGGAACCTCTCCTGACTCTGCGGCAGTAGTACCGAGCAGCAACAGTAGACACAAAGGGCCAGGATGAGCGCGAGCGGCACAGCACCAGCTCGGGCTCCTCCCTGTCCGCCTGCCGCTTGGCACACTGCTACATCGCTTGAGGGATCAGGCATAAACTGGCAGTCGGACATCCCCCAAGGGGTCCCAGATTACGAGAGAATGCAGGCCAGGCTGAAGGACCCCCCTCCCCCCATGCACGAATCCGTGCACCGGGCCTCTCGTTTCAAATAAAATCTTACATTTCTTATCAAACCTCTGTTTTGTAACAGGATAACAGTCTTTCTGGAGAATGGTGTGAAGCTCTTCACAGTTTTACAGCGGAGACCAGTGATGACTTACCCTTCAGGAGGGGAGAACGGATCCTGATCCTACAGCGGCTGGACTCCGACTGGTACAAGGGCAGACTGCGAGACAGGGAGGGGATCTTCCCAGCAGTCTTCGTGCGGCCCTGCCCAGGTACAACAACTCCAGGAAGTGGTTCTTCAATCTAAGGGGAGCCCAAGACCTTTAAAGCGATATATCTTTCTTTTCCCTCTGGCCATGATCAGTTTAAGTTGTTTGCCTTCATTTTAAATAGTTGATTCGTAAAGTTTTGTAAGCTCTTCTTCATACTTCATACTTTGTTTGAGTTATAGGGGGGAAAAAGATAAAAATGCCTTCATTTGATAATGGCCAATTTTCTATAGTTTTTTCTAGAAACATAAAAATATATTTCTATAATATATTTCTACTAGAGGCCTGGTGCACAGAAATTCGTGCACAGGCGGCGGGCGAGGGTCCCCTCAGCCCAACCTGCACCCTCTCCAATCCGGGACCCCTTGGGGGATGTCCAACTGCTGGTTTAGGCCTGATCCCGGGGATTGGGCCTAAAATGGCAGTCGGACATCCCTCTCACAATCCTGGACCGCTGGCTCCTAACCGCTC